CGTTGGGCACTTCCATCCCATCGGCGTCGACATGTCTCTATCTACTGCCATCGGTATAGTCTTACTTTTGGCCTTCGTCTTTTACAAGGTGATCCTGGAAAAGCTTGTTTTCTCACCTCTGGCCAAAATTCCAGGCCCCAAGCTATGGGCTCTGACTCCAGTCAGACTCGCGTTCGAAGACTGGAGAGGCAAACGGACACCGACAATCAACAAGTTGCATGAGAAATATGGCCCCACCGTCCGGGTTGGGCCTCGCGAGGTTTCTTTCAACAGCATATCAGCGGTACGATCGATCTATGGCGCGGGCTCCGCTTTCGAGAAGCCGACGTTCTACTACGGAATCTTTGACGTCTGGGGGTCGGCCAACTTGTTCAGCATGAAAGGCGTAAAGCCTCACGCCGAACGCCGCAAGCTCCTTTCACACCCCTATTCTAAAGGAAGAATCATGAAGGGCGACACAGCTGCTATGATTGAGAGGAACGCTAGGGACTACCTTCGGCAGATAGAGGTGGAAAGCAATCGCGGGAACTCGATTGAAACATTCACCACGCTTCACTATTACTCCATTGACACTATCAGCAACTTCATCTTTGGTCCGGAGTTCGGAGGCACCAGCTGCTTAGTGGGCAACCCCGAACACCGGGCATTGTTAGACGACATCTTCGACCCTGCCCGTCGGAAGTTGATCTGGTGGTTCATGCATTTTCCCAACTTTACTTCGTGGTTATACACTCGGTCGGGCATCCAGGAGGAGCTTTTAAGACCCTTTCTCCCGATGCAAAAGCCGGCGACTTATTCCGGAGTACGGGCGCATTGCTTAAGGAGTTGGAAGAAATTCGACACTGCATCAAACGAGGAGAAGTCGGCTTCCCATACGTCAGATACGATCCTCGGTCTCCTTTGGAAGAACCATCAGACTTACAAAGGAAGCGGTGGACTTACCGACATGGACATCGCGTCCGAATGTGCGGACGAATTTCTGGCTGGAGTTGACACAACGAGCGACAGCACCATGTTTCTGATTTGGGCTCTATCACAACCCAAAAATAGAGTCTACCAAGAGCGGTTAACTCAAGAAGTCTCCTCTCTATCGGCGGAATCCATCAACGCCTACGGGATTCCCACCGTCGAGGCTACAGACAAGCTCCCTTTCCTCGATGCGGTCATTAAGGAGACTCTGAGAATGTACGCACCACTTCCTGCCTCAGAGCCACGATCGAGTAGGACCGATACTGTGATTGATGAATACCAGATACCCGCCAACACCATCGTGGGCGTCGGGCCTTACTACCTCCATCGTCGAGCAGACATTTTTCCCGACCCGCAGAAGTTTGATCCGGACCGCTGGCTCAACGGCACCGACAGTGGAAAGGTAAGCGAAGAGGAGTTCGCGGGCAGGAAAAGGAATTATTGGCCCTTTTCGAGCGGCTCGAGAATGTGCATCGGAATGCACCTCGCATTGGCGGAAATGAAGGTTCTGGTGGCCGCCATTTACAGAGAATACAGGACCAGTATCCCTGATCATTTCGCGGGCATAACGCCAGGGATCACAAGTCGGTTTGAGCTGCATTACGATGAAACCTACCAGAAGATTGTAGAGCATGCTTGCTATATCGATTTCAAGAGACGAGACAACTGACCAAAAGGGATGAGGTTGGTCGGCAAGGTGTTAGCCAAAATCCGTGTTAAGCTAGTCATAGAACATATTGCCATTACCCTCATAGTCGGAGCAACAAACATGAGTTTCACACCGAATCTCTTCCATAATAGTTCAGTTCTAATGGCCTCGTCACAGGAGGAAGTTTTTCGATGGAGGATTCGCCGCAAATCATCATCTCTGACTATCTAGGAGCCTTTGGATGCTATTGAGGCAGTTTGGAGGACGAAATTATTGGTGAGACAGTATCAGGTTTGAGAACTTTACCTTTCCTACAAGCTGCTTCCCCCCATTATAAAACCCTTACTGGAATCTGGGCTGTGTGCCTTGCTCACTATAGACAGAGGCCTAATATTCAACTAATACCTCTTCCTCTCTGTCAAATTGACATTGAATTCTCACCAACATCAACTAAGCAACGCCTAAGCTACAAACTTGGAAATTCGGTACACCCTAAAATGACAGTAATCTCGAATGTTCGAATTCGCATAAACACACCCAACCAACCAGCAGGCTCAGTCTATGGGGTGCCAATTGGTTCGTTGCGTCCAAGTCAAAGATACCTCAAAAGAACGCGTCGTGATCATTCCCGCAATGGAAACATTTCCTCAATTCCTGCCAAACCCCCAGTCTCCAATTAGGCCCCAATTTTTGCTCGGTCGGAGCGAACAATCTTCCAGTACTTGTCGGCGCTTTGTGTACGGAACTTCTTGCCGAAGAAGATCATGATGATGAACACAGAGCAGGCAACCATGCCAATGAAGGCTGCCGAGATGAAGCAGTTCTGGTAACCCATGTCCAACCAAGGAGTGAGACTAAAGAACGATCAGCAGTGTCATCGCCAAGGAGGAAGGAAAGGCACCCACCCGTAACTAACGGCGAAGTACATGGTGTTGCGGACTAAAATGATGCTCACGATTGCATCACCCATGATTTCATGGTACGAGTCCACCATGTAGTTGATACTCAGTGTGCCGCCGAAGACCAGAGTCACAGTCAAGAAGAAGTTGGATACCAGAAGGCCGAACCAATGAATCTCGTGCGCAGCTCCCACACCCCAGAGGATCAAGCACCCGGGAACTAGGAGAACGCAGATCGCAAACGGCAACAGGCGTTGTTCAGCTTCCATAATACCATTGTTGCGACGGGCGAGCTTCAGAGTCAACCAGTCGCTGAAGGGACCCGAGAATACGCATCCCACGATCGAGCCCAAAGCAGCCGCAAGAAACGATAATCCCACCATTGACGAGCTGAAGTTGTAGGGCGGCGCGCTCAGCACTAGTGATGCAGTGTTGTTGAAGACGTTGTACCAGATCAGATACGAGCCGTATGAAAAGCCGGCATAGAAGATGACCGGCCATGAAAGATACTTCAAGCTTCGGATATCGTGCTCCCAAATGGATTGACCCGGGTAGTAGTGGAAGATACTCAGCTTCTGCCAATAGGTCTTCCGGACATGGTGCACCTCGCCAGACTCTGATGCGGTAACGGAGTGTGCAGCTGGGTTCTTCTCGGAATCACTCACCACGGCCGGGTCCGAACTCCTCGGCAGGGACTCTGTGCTGGTACCAGGTGTTTTTCGAATGTAGCTGGTCTCTTCCAGGAGCAGAAAGAGGAAGACCATGAGAAAGCCGAAAAAGATAGCAGGCCAGTAGAACACCCATTGCCAGCCTTGATATTCAGCGATGAACCCGCTGATCACGGGTGTGAAGGAATTGGCTCCGATCACGGAGAGCACATAAAGACCCATATAGAACCCCCGTTCGTGGGTGAAAAACTGTCATATGATCAGCATCGATCTGAGAGCGCCCGATGCTCGCATCAGGTTGCGTACCACGTCATTGATGACTGTCTCTGGAAGAGCCTCTATAGGGGCCTGGAAAAAGCCTGTCACGATGCATCTGGCGATCCACTGACCGTTGGTTGAGATATGCACGCTATAAAAATCAGCGAGACGACTCTCGTATAGACGCTGAAACAACGTACGACCAGATGCTAGTACCCTATAGAACGTAAGCAACCGTCGGCATGGATCGAGGGGGGGATACCACATACGATAGTACCCAAGCAGGATATAAGGCAAACGATCCGTCGACCAAACCTGAACGAAGCCGGTTGCCAGACTAACAAGCCCCAGGCGAAGAAAAGAAACATGTAGCCGGTTCCTTCGACAAGCGTGCTGATTGAGACTCCTGTTTGTGTGGCCAATGGGACCAGGACGGAGAATATAGTGGACGAGGCTAGTGAGGTGAAGAATGTATATCTGTATACGGTGTTAGCCTTCCACTCTGATCTCCTCCACGCCATGAGACTCTGGCATACGCGCAAATGCATATTATTGAGAGTAACTTTCGTCGAGGCGTCCAGTTCAATGGGTCTTCCGGGTCGTCGGATGGCGCGGGCACCAGTACGATATCACTCGTGTCCCCCTTGGCATGTCGGAAGTGAAGGGTATGCTGGAGATCAACCAGGTGTACGGTGCCTGGGATACTTTCAATTACTTCTTCAGGAGCTGTCATGGTGACATTCAGTTTGCTTGATTTGGAGCCGCCCATGGATTGAGTTGTGAATACAACAAAGGCGAAGCATCAGCATCAGAGCCGACCGGCTTCATGATCAGTAACTTATATTCACCTCTCATCAGCCCGGTCCTGGGAGCATTCGCGGTCCGCCTCCGCTGAGATATTGTAAACGGAGGGTTTCTGATTCGCTTGGCCGCCACATGGCAGCTTATCAAACAGCTCCGCCCCGCTCGGGTACTCGCCCCTGTCCGAATCTATAGATCGGTTGGATATCTTTTGTGGGTCTTCCCATGCAGGACGAAACCTGGAGAACGACAGTAAGAGCCCACGGCGAGGCGGAGGGTCGCGTCAACGCGCGCCCCCAAGGATCCAAGACGGGGCTGATACGCTCCACTTAGTTTGCCATCGTGGGATGCACGCAGCGGTTTCTCGATCGATGCGTCTTATCACACGAAAGCACTTGGGCTACAAAATGCACAAGATACTGAGGCAACGCGTAGACGCTCTATGCAGTGTAGATAGACTCCATTATACGCAGTACTTATCCAGGCGACACATAAATAATTATCTACCGGTGACAGGCGCCTTCGTGTGGTCTTGCAATTGTTCAGGATATATATCCGACACCATGTCGTGATAGAGGCCCTCATTTCGACTCCACCATTAGTGACTTGATGACTACCAGCTTGAGGCCTGATATGACAGCGACGAGGGCATTTTTCTCTGGCGTAGAGAATTATCAGCCTAGGAACCAGGCGGGTCTGTCTGTACTGTGTTGACCACAAAAGTCCCTCCCCTCCTCTAAAGAAATATGGTATCAGTTATACCAACTTTCTCTTCATGTCTTGTTCTCGTTGCATTTGGGCCATTACTGCATCGGCGACAGCATCCTCTAGAGTCTCCACAACATCACCTCCCTCAATCACAGCGTTGTCGCGCCCCTCATACAACGTGCCGCCCTCGGCCCAGATCCGCCTTAAGGTGATCAACGTGGCAAGAGGGTTGCTTGTATGCCAGGCTTCATTTTCCAGGCGCTTCAACTCTTTGAGACCGGTATAAGAGACCCGAAAGCTCTCTCCGCCTAATTGTTTCTCAAATTCTGCCAGGATCTGGGCATCCGTTGCCGTGAACGAGTTCACTCGTAGAGCTTTATTTCGACTCGCCTCCGGATGAAGAAGGGCCAATACAACTAACTTGCCAACGCTGTCCATTAACACCAGTGCAATAATTAGTACACGGCTACTCTGAGGACTTGGTTCGAGGTCTTGAAAAGGATTATCAACTTACTCATTCATGGTCGTAAAACTGATCTTCAGATTCCCATCGCCTATCAAGAAAGCAGTCTTCGCTTTCACGTCAAAACTTCCGGCGTGTTTCGCACCATAGTTGGCACTGAAGTAGAGACCTGGCTCTCCGTTCGCGTAAGGACCCGTCACTAGAAAAGTATAGTCGAGATTCTTGCACGAACGCAAAGCAGCTCGAACCCTCAACTTCTTCTGGTGAGGCTTTTCGCTTGCCGACCGAGGGCTGTACTCGATGTCGGTGCCATATTCGGATGGGAAAAAGCGATGAATATTGGGTGTCTTGTCAGCGATACGAATCAATTCTATCTGGTGCTCAATCATGTTTCGACCTACAGCCGAGATGACTGTATCAACATCTGTACAACAAGGTTAGGCACCCTCCGACAGAAACGACCACTTCTCATGGAATTTACGCATCAGATCACTATACCTTGAAACGCTCTCGCCACCTCCTCCGTATTGCTCAGGTCCCCGAGAACAATCTCAACTCCTTCTTGCTCCAATTTAGCAATCTCTCCAGGCTTGGTCTTGACCGTATTGTGCGAGGTGAACACGACGATGCGGTCAAAGCTGGCTTTTCTTTTCAAAATGTGTCGCATGATGTGGCTACCGATTAGGCCAGTAGCCCCGATAACCAGGAGCTTCCGACATTCAGGCATCTCGCCGCAGCTGATGATACAAGGGATCCGGACCTGGAACATAGAAGTGGATGACCGTCCTCTAAGGAGAAGCCTGACACGCCGGATCCCATGGAATCAACAGGTCACGCTTTCCGGGAGTATGATAGTCTGAGGCTGGGAGTGGATGCTCGGACTCAGACAATCACTGTGCAGATGATATTTAGCGTCGTAGAAAGAGTCGCAGCCGGTGCCATAGTTGTCGTAGACTTCGAGAAATGGACGGTCGCTCGCCGGGAGGATAGGAAATAACAACGTAGTAATCGAGGGGCATCTGTGCAAAGCGACCTTCACCCTACGTTGGAAAGCTGGAAGTTTTCGGCCACCTTAGGCGGGCTTTGTCGATGATTGCGAGACAGACGGTCAAAGCACCCACAATTCTCTGAACGTACTCAACGTGATATTCCATAGCACGGAAGAGAGCTTGCTGGACCCAGATCCGCAGCCGTAAAATACCCACGCTGCGCTCTGCTCCGATGTCGACCTCAATGCTAGTTCCTCCCATCGGTGACGCGCCTTCCTCCGACTGCGTTCAGGTCCTTCTGAGCCACCGGACAAGCATGCTTGGGAGGTTTGCTCGGGGGGAAATGTAATGCTCCAGGTGAATGAACTTCGAGGGCCCGTGACCCTGCGTCGCATTTCACCCACATCGGTTTCAATGGCCAGTGAATCGAGACCGGCCTCCTCACTCTCGGCCTGGGCCACAGCACCGCGCTGCAAAATTGTTGCTTTGGAAACGCAGTATTGTTCAATTCCTCACTTCGGCGGCTTCAATGGAGCATACGAAATCACAAGATATGATCAAACACCGAAATCTCCAGTGGAGGTTGTGAATGAGCGACTGCGTGATGCCGATGTTGCTATCATCACCACTTTTCCGATCACTGCCTCCACGCTAGCAGCCGATGCCACCCCCAAGCTCCGAGCAATCATGATAATGGCCGCTGGCACTGACCATGTTGACTTGGATTGCTGCAAGAAGCGCGGAATCCGGGTGTTCAATAGCCCCAAAGCATGCACCGAGACGGTGGCCGAACATGCTCTCGCCATGTACTTTGCAACCAGGAGGCGGATTATCCTGACGCATCAGCAGACGGTCCATGACCAGTGGGTCGAAAGGAAGACGCTCGTGAAATCGTTGGAAGATCCGCCCAGGAAGCCACCTCTGGCGTTGAAAGAAGAGATAATAGGCATTGTTGGGCACGGAGCGATTGGTAGGTGCTTCCTTGGGCCCGACCCCTGTGCACCCTACGCTTGAATCTTCTTATGGACTCTCCGGGTTTGACAAATCCTCGCAGGCAAGCATATTGCAACACTTTGCACCAGCCTCGGCATGGTTACACTCATTTCCAATCGCAAGTCGCCCACAGACACCATTCACGAAATGCGGTCGCCGATCGACGGCATGCAGAGCCAGTCGGCGGCGACGAGATGTGCATTCCAAGATGTCCTGGCAAGAAGCACCGTCATCTTCGTCTGCGTACCGCGGCATCCAAGCACTGTGAACTTAATTTCAGCATCAGAGCTTGCAATGATGAATCCACGCGCTGTTCTCGTCAACGTCAGCCGCGGAGGAATCGTGAATGAAACGGATCTTCTAGATGCTCTACGAAGCCGCCAAATCTACGGTGCAGCGACGGATGTGTTTCTGGCAGAACCTGCCTACACGGGAAACTCGGTCTTGGTCGAGGCTCTGGTTAACGACAAAGACGCCACATTGCCTCTCGTAGTGACTCCACATACTGCATGGTACAGCGAAGTGACGCTGGACAATTTGATGCAAAGCGTGAAAGACAATCTTGAGGGTTGGTCTAGGGGCGCATGTTTACCCGAGAATGTGGTAGTATGAACATGCATTGAATGACCAGAATGTGCTGAAAGGGACAGTTTACATTTGTATTCCTCCAGAATCTATACGCCACTTTCCGGCACCTCGTAGCCAAACATGTCTATCCGTTGTGACTTCTGTTTGCAAAATGTACAGAATTGTTCTTCCCCGCAGTAGAGTAATGCTAGATGCGGTCATCTGTCACATATTTCATACTTCAATTGAATTCTTATACTCTACCTCGCCGTCTTCACAGTCGACTGCGCTGGCTGATCATCATTTTCCGTTCCCGTTACGCGGAGCCGCCACCGCACCGTAGCCGTCAGTGTCAGAGCACGCGCGTGAACACGTCGGAGGTCGGCGCCCAGTGTTTGTCCATTCTCCCAGAGACCCCTGGTCAACGTGGATATGAATATTATGGCGATTCATTCGATAGACAAAAGGTTTGCTTTTCTTGGTCACGAACAGATATAGACTATTTCACTAACGGTTTTCCAACATACATTTTGTTTGACCAAAGTCGAAATCGCAGAGCAGTTTTAACAACCACGATGATTTCCCGTCCATCGAGTCCTGGTTGCTCAGGCTTACAGATTAACAGCCAGCGAATTATAGATACGCTACAGTATTCTTGTCAATGGGGAAGCACTGAGGACGGAGGCATGGATCGACTTTCCGGCAACGACGACGACAAAAGCGTCCGCGACTGGTTTATCGCCGAGACTGCAAGGTATGGGTGCAGTCACAAAATTGACACAATGGGCAACATTTTCGCCATCCGTCCGGGAGAGAACAACGACTTACCACCAATTGGACTGGGGTCGCACCTCGACACCCAGCCGACCGGGGGTAAATACGATGGCATTTTGGGAGTCAATTGTGCCTTGGAAGTGCTCAAAGTCCTCCACGAAAACGACGTTACAACGTACGCGCCGTTAGCAGTTATAAACTGGACCAACGAAGAGGGAGCTCGCTTTCCGCCCGCTATGCTCGGTTCTGGTGTCTGGGCAGGAGTTTTCTCGACCGAGTTTGGCCATGCTTGCTCAAGCCTTGACGGCACGACGATGAAAAAAGAGCTGGAGCGCATCGGATACATTGGCAACGTCACCTGCTCATATGAAGCCAACCCCCTGACAGCGCATTTTGAAGTACATATCGAGCAAGGCCCTATCCTTGACGAAGCCCACAAGGCCGTCGGCGTCGTCAAAGGTGCGCAGTCCATTAGATGGTATGATCTCCAGGTCAAAGGGCGGGCGGCCCATACGGGTAGCACTCCAATGGACAGAAGGTCCGACGCCCTCCTAGCGGCATCGAAGATGATCGTGGAGACGAATCGAGTGGTGACAACGGGAGCCATCTCGGAGCGTGGGGCACGAGGAACAATTGCGGTGATCAATTCCTTGCCACAGAGCATCAACACCATCGCCGGCCAAGTTCAGATGAACCTGGATGTCCGATCACCGTATGACGAAGACGTGCAACAGATCGACGAGCTGCTACGGGAGAAGTTTCAGCAGATCTGCCGCGATCATGGCGCCTCCGTGGAGATCAATTGTTTCTGGGAATCCCCTGCTACCATGTTTGATGAGCAAATGGTCGACTGCGTCCGCAAGGCCGCAAAGGCAGTCGATTGCACTCATGAGATCATCAGCGGTGCTGGCCACGACAGGTACGGAAGACCAAGTATGCCCTTTAGTAAATCATTGTCTCACACCCTCGCAGCGTGTATACCGCGAGAAAAGTCCCCACGGCAATGATATTCACTCGCTGCCGGGACGGTGTCAGCCACAACCCAGCCGAGTATTCTCGACCGGAAGAGTAAGTGCCTATGTCTAAATTATCGTCTTTCCTTGACTGATGAGCTGTCAGCTGTGCGGTGTCGGCGCAGGTGCTTTTGGATGCATATCTACGATACGACGAACTGCTACGCAAGAAGTCCACAACCCGCACTTGAGGAGGGCTTTGTCGGTGGACGAGGTTTGGCTGGATTTATTCCTGGAAAGACGAGATCTGAAAGAATATCGCGTGTCCCACGCCTGATCATGCCAATGTATCGCGTCTGTACAAGCTGCCGACACTCTTTTGTAATCACAAGGGTTCTAGTCCTTTCCCCAGATATGTACTCTCTCCAAATTCCTCTCGTTCCGCAACCTGAAATTTGGGCAATCCCATAACTGCAAGGAAACAAGAAATCGTTAGAATTGGTCGCGTCAAGCATTGTGCACTCCGAAGACCCTGCAGTCCTCAAGAGCACCTCAGAAGATTAGATATACTCACAATATCCAGCCTTGCTGTGTCCCAACGCCTCCCACGTGGCTTTTGCTTCAGTGGGCCCAATCTCCACCAGGGGGACACCGCTGCCCGCGCTTGAGGCGTCAGCTACCAGTTGGTCGTGGCACAGCTTTTCCAGCAGGACAAACCATGCCACTACTTCCTCGATTGTGACTCCTGCAACCAGGAGGCCGTGGTTGCCGAGCAGGAGCGCCTTCTTTCCTCCCAAGCATTCTGCAAGGCGCTTACCCTCTTCTGCATCGAGAACGACACCGGCAAAGTTCCTAGCCGCACTGGTATGAGCCGGGAGTAGCTCGATTTTCGACGGTGGAAACTAACCGATAGACCGCGTGGTCGTTATAGAATACGCATGCGTCTTGGGAAAGCATTTGCAATTGGCGCCCTGTGAACCGTGACACTTTTAGCTTGGTGTCTATGGTCCGTAGAGCTGGAATGGGCTAAAGCCTGGGGACATGGCCAGGGAGTCTCCTCACCTGTGGCGCAAAACGTTCGACCCCAAGGGCTATGAGAATGTGCAGCGCAGTGAACTTCTGGGCGCGCATGGTGAATCTCAGAGTGAATAGCAAATGCGGCTACACAACATTGATTTAGCCGATAGAAAGGCAGCACTCACTCAGAAAGAATTTATACTGACCGTAGTTCAAGAGTCTGTTCCGCCCGCCGTCGATGACTTGACCTTCTGAATTGACCCGGATCAAATCCTCGTCTCGGATCATAGAGAAGTCCATGCCAAAAGGGTTCACCCAGAAGGTATCCGACTCCACGGGATCGCGTACCGTGATGTGTCCTGCAACTCCTTCTCCAAAACCCTGCTTTCCGAATATTCTGAACGCCAGCGCCAGACGATGCTTGAGGAACCGTCTTTCTTCATACTTGTCGGTGAATACTGGCGGTTCAGTCTCGCTGTCCTTCGGGAATGCTAAGTCGGGGTCGCCGCTGGGATGTATGCCATTTGTCGTCGCCTCGACTTTGAGAGTACGCGTCTCAGCCGTGGTGATAGTTGGCATCGTTCTTGAGGGTATCTAACATGGACTGCGGCGAAGGCATGACTTCAGATGACCGAATTTTATGATTGACGAGCCCAGCCATCGGAGCGAGAAGATCGCTTTCTTCGGCTGCGGACGCCTCAACGGGCTCTTAGTTATGGGTTTCGCGCGTAGCTCCGTTTCCCAATTTGCGTCAGTTCCCCCTTATCATAGTCCGGGGCGGACGAGTCACGCCAAGTCGGGACGCAGCGAGGCCCGCCTCAGAGGTCGCTTATCACGCAAGGAATCCGTTGTTGCACAGGACCCATGATTTCAAAAATGAGGGCGTTTCGAAATAATAATAAAGCCCCTCTAAGTGCGGTTATGCCCCATTACCTGTTCAGTGACCTCTCGGTTGAGAACAGCGGAGAGAAGATGAGCAAATCTGACCGGAACCCTGGCACCGCGGAAAGGAGTTGCGCAGCCGGAGCAGCGTCTTCATCGGCGTCGGAAGCACACACCATATCCGTGGCTCTATTAAAGCTTTTCGAATGGCTAAAGGGGCTTACAACCTCGTAGATCTCTGAGATGACCACAACTGGATCATTCTTGTCGTTTTCCACAGATTCCAGTGAGCAAAATCCTGTCCTCCCAGCCTCTGCCTGACATTCCTGTCCTTCAAAATGTCGTTCGACCAAGCCGACTTGGCGCTGTACACTTTTTTTCGGTCTACGAGTACTGCTCGTGTACGGACTGCAGCGAGGTTGAAGGATATCTCCGTACGCTTCTGTTATGTCAATGTCAGGAAGGACGAACAATTTCGAGAAGAATTCCTGCGGCTGAACCCGAATGCCACCGTACCAGTGCTTACCGTGACGCCCAAGTCGGGAGTGCTGTCCAAAGGGATCGGCTTTTCCATTAAGCAGTCGGTGGCCATCCTCGAATTCTTTGAGGAGGCGTTTCCCGACAGAACGCCCCTACTCCCACCCATCGACGACTTGATGGGACGAGCTTATGTACGCGACCTGGTGAATCTCGTCGCCGCCGATATCCAGCCACCCACCAATCGCCGAATTCTACTCCGCGTGAAGGAAGCAGGAGTAACGGCGGAGGAATGGGCATTTAAGATCATGGGTGATGGTTTGAAGGCTTTTGATGAAATGGCAAAGCCATTCGCCGGGAAATATAGCTATGGGAACACTCTGACACTGGCAGACGTGGTCCTGGCACCTGCGGTTGAGAACGCTGTTCGGTATGGTGTGGACCTTGGGAAGCTGCCGACAGTAAAGAGAATCTTTGATAGGATCAGCGTTCTGGAAGAATTCAAGGCTGCTGACTGGAGGCATCAAGAAGACACACCACCTGAGGAGATCAACCCTTGAAGGCAGATCAATTACCTATCGATCCCAGTCTTCATGACCAGATAGACAGCCACTGTGTTGCCTAGAGGCAAGTTACTGTGAGAGGGCCATCTTTTTGGTGGGGTTGAAATCTGATGGGGGCCGAGAACTTTTGTCTTAGAACTGTATGTGGTAGCTAAAAAGGGTGCCCACATGATAGCAGCCGACTGGAAATCAAAGGTGTTGTCTGCAGAGAAATTGTGAATGGACTTTGTCAAAGTGCATATCCCAGATCCACCAGCCTCTGATGGGCACTGCACGTATTTGATCAACCCTCATGCTGACAATACGCAACCTAGTAATTTCTACCGCAGGAACTGGACGCACGCTGGTGGCGGTGTAAATCAATCTCATGGGGTTGTCCCAATGCTCGTTGGAAAAGGATTGATTATGGCCCTTGGTTCTTTAGCAAGTTGTTTGATTCGTGTGTCAAGCCAATGGATTCCCGTGGCGACCATCCCTGGAATACATACAACGAATCCTAGCCCTTTACCTCCTAGTGGATGGCGTTGGACTGAACTCCTTCCATCCATTGATCCGGAAGCGCAAAAATCATCCGCGGAACAGACTGCTGCTTCCGGACCAATAACCGGCTCCAGATAGAGCACAAAGGGCGCAAAACGATGACTTGGTATCTTATGCCGTCGACATTGTGGACCTCGGTCAGCCTGAACTCTCTGTCACGATGCCCCCCGTGATGAGGCACACGGGACGGACGGACGAATTGCTGATTTTCAAATCTAGGGCAAATTTTCAAGACTTGGATTCGACCTACCTTTCCACAAAAGCTCAGTAGATAGGCACACGGGGTAGGGTGGTTGATCATTCACGATGAATAGCCGTGGAGACAAAGTCCCATTGTATCGAGCTCCTCACTCCTCCAATCCACGGAGAAGACGGGATTTCAGCGACGAAGATGATGATGCGTTCGCCTACAAGAGGCAACGAACCGCGATTGCGTGTAATTCTTGCAAGAGCCGAAAGTCACGTTGCAATGGGGAACGACCAACCTGTGGCACTTGTATCGAACTGGGCTTCGAATGCGTGTACCGCGCTCCAGCCAGAGCACCGAACGCTCAAGCTCGGGAGCTCCACGACGTGAAAACGAGGCTGCAGGCACTGGAAGAGCTGCTGCATACGATCGGATTTCAAGCAAGCCACCGTCTAGGTGATTCCCAGTCTTACCAAAATCGACCTATCTCGCCTGGTGTGCCGCCATCTCCATCCATGACAGAGGCGCCAGTCGGCGAATTCAGCCAGCAGAGTAGCGCAGAATGTGGTGTTGCCGCAGGAGAAGACACTGTGGATGGTATGGGGGTCATCACCTTCGCCGATGAGTCGGACTCTGGTCACTTCGGCCTTTCGTCGAATTCTGCGTTTTTCGGTCACATCACACGACTTCTTGAATCAACCATGACCACAGCCACGCAACGGAACGCGCCTTCACAGGCACTCACAACCAACCTTTCTCGGCCAGCTTCTCCCCCAGCTCCGCCCAGACGTCAAGTCGAGAAGCGACCAAACCCTTATATCCTGCCGGCTCGGGAAGACATTCTCAAGATGATCGAGTCTTTCTTCTCTGTCACTGGGATGTTCTTCCCCTTTATTCACAAGCGGTCGGTGATCAACACGCTGGAAGAATTGGACATCAACAACTTTCGCGGTGTACGAAAGTCGTGGCTGTGTCTCTTGAATGCGATCATGGCCATCGGATTAAGCCTAGGCGATGGCCAAGGCATCTCGAGGAAACATCGAGAGTTGGAATCAGATGTCTACTTTCAACGAGCACTTATTCTGTCACCGTGGACTTTGTCAAATACCACCAATTTAGAGACTGGTAAGTCGTCCAATGGCAGATTTGTGCGTCATCAGTATCTGCCTTCACAGCTGACACCGTCAAACAGTGCAAGCTCTCGTTGTTATGACTGTATACCTTCAAGGCGCCTCCAGGTCATCTCAGACGTGGAAGATTCATGGTCTCCTCGTGCAGGCAGCCTACCAGATGGGTATCCATGCCAATGTCAAATCGCCCAAAATGTCTCCGTTGGAGCAGGAGATCCGCACACGAACATGGTACATGTGCTTTGTGCTGGACCGGTATGTTCCACTAAAGAGTACTCTTTCCTTTCCTCACACTGACCTCCATGGGGCTTCAGAATGATGAGCGTTGCTTATGGCCGACCTCCATTGATTCACAACAGATCCATCCAGGGTAATCTGCCCTTGGATATCGACCTTGATGATACACTAGCAGACCACGAAGAATCCGACGCACCGTCGATTCCCACGCAAACTGAAAATTCATCTTGTTCTCTCTTCCTTGCAACCATGTAAGTTGACTCTGGCGAGGTATTCTTCCCTCCGAAACGTCCTCACCACCTTGTAGAAAGCTCTACTGTATCCAAGGCGATGTCATCGAAGAACTTTACAATCAAAACCTCGCTCCGTTAGTCGACGTGCAACCAGATCAGCTCTTCAGCCCCATCATGAAGTTTGATCAATACCTCAGTGAATGGAAGCGAGAACTGAACCCCATCGTAAGCCTCGTCCCCGTAGACGAGCTCGGCGCAACGCATCATGAAGAATGGAAATACTCAAGATCACAAACTGTGTTAACAATCCGGTATCTATCGGTGCGTGTTCTCCTCTACCGGAGAGTCGTAGAAACGCTCCTCGACGTTATTGCAATAGGTAACAGCCTGTCGGAACACTCTTTACCCATTGCACAAGCTCTGATTCAAGCTTGTATCAACTCTGCCATTGCCATCATCCAAATCATACGTGCTCTAGGGGCCAGAAATGACATGCTTCCAGCATGGTGGTTTACTGTTTACCATGGTATTTTCACACTCTCACTACATTTTGATGCTTTCGAAACTGACCAGTCACTAGTGTTTAATGCATCGTTGATGTTATTCGGCGTTGTCTGTTTGCAGACACTGGGGAACGTGTCCCTCGGCACACGACCGCCGTCTGAATTAATTCAATGTATGCAAATAGCTCTCGAGGATCTTGATGTCATTGGCAGAGACACCAGGATCGTTCGACGATGTTCAAAATATCTGCGCAAGATGATACAAATTTCTTCATCGCTTGGTTAGTACGCCCTGATGGTGAAAGGCTTCTAGCATCGTCTGACGATGAGCAGTACAGAACCACTCGTGGAATCAATCGCCTCGTCGGGACGCGTCTCTGACGGTTCCTTTTCTTCAATATAACAACATTCTCTCCGTGTCGGACGGAAGTATACAATCTCCGTGGGACGCTGACTTTGGGCAATTCTTGATCAACGACGACTCGAACTTCCTCGACGGTTGGGCAGATCTGGTCGGACCGCTTTCGCGCCAGTGAGCGGGGAAAGAATGAGATTTGAGCACCACACGTGTACCTCAATTCAACTGTATTTCATCCAGACCTGAATCATAACCTGGACGCATACATGTTCAACTTTTCGAGGAGTGGCCGGTCGGACAAAACAAAGAAGTATACATCATCTTGGGCGTCGGCTTCGTGAACGACCTTGCTCCATGCCGGGACCGCGAACGTGTCATTCTTCTGCCAGGTGACGGTGGTTGCCTCTCCATTCGCGGTAACGATCTCGGACTTTCCGGATCCCGAGTGGATGTGGTAAATATAAGCACA